CACCTTGTTTGTTGAGGCTTTTTGTCATGAAAGGATGCTAGATTTTATCGAATGCTTTTTGTGCATGTGTTAAGAAATTTATGCTCTGTTTACGTGGTGAATCATATGTTTTGATTTGCCTATGTTAAACCCATCCTTGCTTCCTGCACTGAAACCCCTGTGATCATCGTACAGTATGTTTTTGATGTGCTGTTGAATTTTGTGTGCTAGTATTTTGTTGAAGATTTTTGCATCTATGTTTATTATAAGTGATATTGGTCGGTAATTGTTCTTTTTTGTCATGTCCTTTCCTGGCTTTGGTATCAAGGTGACACTGGCTTCATAGAATATGTTTGGGAGGATTTTCTCCTCGATGTTATGAAATAGTTTCTGTAGGATAAATACCAGTTCTTTGTAGGTCTAGTAGAACTCTCCTCTGAACCTGTTTTGTCTGGGAACTTTTTTGGTTGGGAGATTTTTTTATTACTGCATCAATCTCACCGCTCATTACTAATCTGTTCAAGATTTCTTTTTCTTCCTGATTCAGGCTTAGGAGATTGTTCATTTCCAGGAATTCGCCCATTTCCTCTAGGCTTTCTGATTTGTGTAAAGGTTTTGTAGTACACACAGAGAACATTTGGGTTTCTGCAGTATCCCTTGTAATGTCTGCTTTTTCATTTCTGATTGAACTTATATGAATCCTTTCTCTGTGTTTTCTGGTTAAACGGGCTGACGGTCTACCATTTTGTTTATCTTTTCAAAGAACCAACTTTTTGTTTCATTGATTCTTTGTATGTGTTTGTGGTTTACAATTCATTTGATTCTACTCTGAGCGTTGTTATTTCTTTTATCTATTGACTTTGTATTTGGTTTGTTTTTCCTTCTTTATTTCCTTGGGATGTAACATTAGGTTGTTAATTTGTGGTCTTTCAGTCTCTTTGATGTAGATGATAAAGGCTCTGAAATTCCCTTTACTGGACTGCTTTCTCTGTATCCAATAGAGTTTGAAAGCTTGTATCTACCGTGTCACTCTGTTCAGTGAATATTTTGATTCTATCTTGAATTCATCAGTTACCCAATGATTATTCAGCAATCAGTTCCTTTAATTTCCATGAGTTTATGTAGATTTGGGTGTTTCTCCTAAAATTGATGTCTTATTTTATTCCACTGTGGGCTAAGATACATGGTATGATTTCAGTATTTTTTTAATTTATTGAGACTTGTTTTGTGGTCTAAGGTATGACCAATCTTTTCCATGGACTGATGAGAAGAATACGTATTCAGTAGTTTGGAATAGAATAGTCTAACTGTCTCTTAGATCCATTTGTTTTAGAGTCCTGTTTAAGTGCAATTGGTTTTTTTTTTTTTTCATTTTCTGCTTTGATATTCTGTCCAGTTCTGTCGGTGGAATATTGAAATCTGCAGGAATTAAGATGGTAAGGTTCCACTTTTTCACTTAAGTCTGGAAGAATTTTCTTTATGAAACTGGGAGTCTGGTGTTAGGTCATGTATATATTTAGGATTGTTATGTCTTCTTGTTTAACTTCTCTCTTCACTGTTCCATAATGACCATTTGGCGGTGTTTTTTTTTTTTTTTTTTAACATTTTTGATTTAAAGTCTATTTTATCTGATACTAGAATGACTACACCTGCTTGCTCATGGTGTCCATTTGCTTGAAATATTTTTTGCATCCTTTTACCATGAATCTGTGCGTGTGTGTGTGTGTCCTTGTGATTTAGATGTGTTTCCTGGAGACATCAAATACTGGGGTTGTGCTTTTTCTTCCATTCAGCCACTCTGTGTCTTTTAAGTGGGGTATTCAGACCGTTTATGTCGAGTGTTAGCATTGATACGTGGGCCGCTTTTCTTGTTCATCATGTTGATGATGTGTTATTGTTTTCCCTCTTGTGCTATTGTTAGAGCTGTGAGCTGTAACTTGTGGATGTCTTTACACTGGTAGGTATCTATTGTGCTGTTTCACGTACAATGCACTTTTGAGCATTTCCTATGTGGCTGGTCTAGTCGTCACAGATTCCCTTAGTACTTGCTTGTCTGGAAAAGTCTTCGTTTCACCATCATTTAGGCAACTTAATTTTTCAGTACACACAATTCCTGGCTGGCAGGTGTTTAGGAAAATTAAAAATGGTGCCCCAATCTCTTCAGGCTTGTAAGGAAGGTCTCCACGGTTACTTTAATGGGTTTTCCTTTGTAGTTTAGTTGTTGCTTTCATCTTGTGGCTTGTAGAGTTTTCTCCTGTATTTTGACTCCAGCTAGGGTTGTGACTATGTGTCTTGGCAGTATAATATTTGCTGTGAATCTTCTTGTTGTTTAGTGACCATCTTGTATTTGGATGTTTGAATCCCTGGCGTTACCAGGGAAGTTCTTCTCAATAATTCCCTCAAAGAGGTTTTCCATGCTTTGCGCTTTTTTTTTTTTTTTTTTTTTTAGCCCTTCAGGATACCTGTAATTTATATATTGGCTTACTTCATGTCATTCCATATTTCTTTGAGTGGTTGGTTATTCTTTTTTCTCTACCTTTGACTAACTGGGTTAGTTTGAAAGTGTTTTCTTGAGGCTCTGAGATTATTTCCTCTGCTACATTGTGCCTGTTATTGAAGCTTTCTGTTGTATTTTGTCGTTCTCTAAATGACTCTTACTTCTTTCTGTTCTTTTATATTTTTTATGTTACATATCTCTTTAGTGACTTTTTCAAATTTTTCATTTACATCTTGAATTTTTTTTTGTTTGTTTTTTTGGTTTCTTTGTGTTGATTTCCAACTTTCTCTTAGATTTCATTCATTTTATTTATTGTCCCTATTCTGATTTCCATTTCTGATATTTCAACAATTTCCTTTTGGTTGGGATTTATTGCTATGGATCTATTGTGATTCTTTGGGGGTATTAAACTAGCTTGATTTATCATGTTTTCATGTATATGTGTGCGCGCACTGGTTTCTTCTTACTTGAAACCTCTTCTCAGCTCAGGGCAGATAGGTTTGCAGCACACCTGTTAGCTTTGGTTGGAGGTTCTTCTACTTAGTGAGAATGAGAAGTTCCTACCTAGTGGCTTTTGTGTCATATTTGGGAGAATTTGACCTGTTGGGAGAAGGATTTATGCATTGAGACCCCGTAACACAGATATTTTCCTGTGTCATCTTGATTTTGTGTAGTTTTCACATTCTGAGTTGGTGCTGGGAGATATTTGTTTGAAGTGGTGAGTTGGTCCACAGGCCTCTGTCAAACCCTCAGGAAGGAGCAAGTCCCTCTACCCAGAAGCTGGTGGCATTACCTTATCTAGCACCTATGCAGATTGCAAGACCTTGGCACATGCCTGGGCCTATTACAGAACTTCATTTGGGATCAAAGGACCTTGGCAGATGACTAGGTGTGTCATGGAACTTTGGCCAGTGACAAGGTACATTGGTCCCTAGGCCACTGCTGGAAGCTCAGACAGAGGTCTGGATGAGTCCCTCTCCACCAAGGTGGGAATTGCAAGAGATTGCCCAGGTCTCTCCACAGGTAGCAGTAGCTGTTTGGTGAGGTTAGCTAAGCAGCGGCCACAGGTCTCAGGGCTGCAGAAATTCACTTTACTCAGGTTTTGGTGTAATGGCAGTATGCCATTGGAGGGAAGTTGTTGTTAGCAGGTCCATGGTGGAGAACTGGACCACAGGCTGTGTTACCTGGTGCTGGTAACACCAGCCAGTGTGTGGGGCTAGAAGGCTTGTTCCTCTGTTCAGCACTCCGAGTCATGGGGCTGTGGCCTGCTGGCCAGCACGCAACACCAGAAAGAATGGCCCAGTGCACCATGTGTGGGTCTGTAGGTTCGCAGTGAGGTGGATCTCTGCTCAGTGCCTGGGTCCACAGGAGTATGGTGCTCAACAGAGTGGTACTCTGTGTACATGGAGCTGCCGGGGGTGGAGGCTCTTGGTGTCCAGTTATGGGCATGTGAAACCAATCCCTGTATAGACCAAGAGTTTAGAACCTGAGAGCTCAGAGTAGCATCAGCTGCAGCAATCTGGAACCCAAGGCCAGCAGATCCTTTCTGAGCCTACCTTCTGATACAGCTTCCTTATACGGTCTCTAAGCAGTGCTCTGATAAGCATGGAGGCCTGCAGTGGTGGGGAGACGCCCACACACAGCTCAAGTCACAACGTCCCTGTGGGAGTGTGTGACCCTGAGCTTTCTTCTTTATCCCTTCCCCAAGTGTAGGGGTCACCCCCAGGTACCTTCCAGATTTAGCAAGTAGGAGTGCCTGTCCCCATATCCTTCACTCTTGAGCATCTCCTGTTGGTTCTCTGATGATCTCCAGTGCTCTGGAGAGGGTCCGTCTGTAGGTGGGCATCTACCTGCAATTTTCCATCTTCTAGAGAGTGGCTTGTGCAGGCTACTTCTTGTCCACCATGTGGTCCCCACCAAGGAAATGATTTTAAAAGTTAATTTGTAAACTGATTAGAGCTAAGCAAATGTAAGTCCCTATCATTACCATGTCAATGAGATTCATTTAGTGCTGATGCTGAGATGTGCTTGTGTTGCTTGAGTAGTACAATAATAATTTTACTTGGGTAATATTCTTGTCTTTCTGCATATTCTGCTGTGGTTGATAGAAAAAGTGATGTTGATCAGATTGGGCTTAGATCAAATAAGACAAGCAGTGGTGCACATCGACATCCTCAGGATAGGATTTCAGGGGGATTTCATGTTATTACTTCTCTTAATCTTGAACAAGTCATTTTTAGCCTCCATAACAAATACCTAGAAAAATCCTTCCAGGTTCACTTCCTGACATCTACTTTTTCTCTCCATCCTTTTTTCTTCCTTCCTTTGTTCTTAATTTCATGGGCCAGAGTACTGTCACTAACCTTGCTTGTGGACCAGTGATGACTTGGGCAAAGAAATTTTTTAAAAATCTGATGACCCACAAGGTACTTAGGGTTGTGCTGTGGTAACTAAGCAGGACTTCTAGACCCATTCTGTGTTGGATGCAATGACCTTCACTTTTTTTTTTCCTTCATCTTTTCAGGAAACTTGGATTTAACTGGTCAGAAACAAGTATTCAAAGCAGAGAACAATCCCTGGGTTACCCCGATTGCTGATCAGTTCCAGCTTGGTGTGTCCCATGTTTTTGAATACATCCGTTCTGAGACATACAAGTAGTAAGTAAATTGCTTTTCTAAAATAGTAGACTGTGATTTGATGGTATTTTAATGACTCCTGTTTTTAAAAACTGATCATGTGGCATCCTTTTGGTGGCATTTAACACATAGACCTAAAAATATTCTGTTAAGAACCACATGTGGTAATCACCTCTATTATTGGTAGATAATTTTTAATTGACATTTTCAAGAGACTTTTAACCAATTTTGTTGAGAGAATTTTTGAGATATTAAATTGTTTGAATATTCATGGCACTAAGGAAATTTACCAGACGCATTCAGATCAGAACATATTTCTTTTCCTTCTGTGAATGCAAAGAATTACAAGCATTCTGAACAAAATTGTTAAGCAGTTTATTTATAAAATCAATAGAGAGTACTAGGAAAGCATCATTCTATTATTTAGAAGCTTTTTCTCCAGTGAGATGATAATCTTTCTAAGAGGTAAGGCAGTGTGGAGGAGGAGGAATCAGCGGCTTAAAGTCACAGCATCAGAATACCCCAAGTACTCAGGCAGGTTAACAGCACCTGTGGGAGAGCACCCCTAAACCTACCTATTCCTGCCTTTGTTTCTCAGTGTTTTGGATGTGGGAGGAATTCCACCACCCCATCTGCTGCTCTTGTATCTCCTGTCATTGTTTCCCTGTGTTATCTAAGCTTTCTCAGCTCTCAAACTGTCATTTATCTCAATGCTTAACTGACTCCAGAAGCTAAAACGCAGTGTAGTTTTAAGCATCTACTAAAAAGATTTGAAAACATCCATAGTCAGATTTAATTTGTTTTTGTGTCTGCCACCCACTTTTAAGTATTTTACATCCAAACTATTAGAGAAAAAGTAGAGAGGATGATTGAAGGTCACAGTCACATTCATTCATTCATTCATTTATTATCAGAAAAAATGCCCAAAACTTACTATAGTCTTCACTGAATCTGTGCTGGGCCAGTGTGTCCAGAATGACAGAAAGGACAGAAGTTCTACCCAGAAGTGGCCAGTTGGGGTTCCATAGTGTTCCTGCCTGAGCACCGTGCTCAGATGTTTGGGGCTTGCTGTGGTTGTATTTCCATCTGGTGGAATCACAGGGAAAATAAACCGTGAACAATGGCCTGGAAACTCAGTACACCAAAATTGCCAAATGATACCATATCTGCAAAAGCAGCTTAACCCATGGCTAAGATTTCATACAAAAGCAGCTTAACCCATGGCTAAGATTTCATACAAAAGCAGCTTAACCCATGGCTAAGATTTCTTTTTTGGACAATACAATGTAAATCTTAATACTTAAGGGCAGCACCTGTGGCTCAAAAGTGTAGGGCACTGGCTCCATACACTGGAGGTGGTGGGTTCAAACCCAGCCCTGGCCAAAAAAAAAAAAAGACTTAACTCCAAGGCCTGGCATGGTGTCTCACTGCTGTAATTCTGTAAACTCTGGGAGGCCATGGCAGGTGGATTGCTTCAGCTCAGGAGTTTGAGATCACCCTGAGCAAAGTGAGATCCCATGTCTACCAAACATAGAAATACTAGTTGGGTGTTGTGGCGGGCACTTGTAGTCCCAGCTACTCAGGAAGCTGAGACAAGAGGATCAGTTGAGCCCTAGAGTTTGAGGTTGCTGTGAGCTAAAACACCATAGCACTCTACCCAGGGGTACAGAATGAGATTCTGTCTCAAAAAAACAAACAAATAAACAAACAAAAGGGTGGCACCTGTGGTTGAGTGAGTAGGGTGCCGGGTGCTGGCCCCATATACCGAGGGTGGTGGGTTCAAACCCAGCCCTGGCCAAAAAAAAAAAAAAAAAAAAATAGCTGGGCGTTGTGGTGGATACCTGTAGTTCCAGCTACTTGGGAGGCTGAGGCAAGAGAATCGCCTAAGCCCAAGAGCTGGAAGTTGCCGTGAGCTGTGATGCCATGGTATTCTACCCAGGGCAACAAAGTGAGACTCTGTCTCTGGAAAAAAAAAAAAAAAAGACTTCAGGATAAAATAAGTATAAGATGTGTGTTATTACTTCATAAGCCATATAGATATGTACAATTATCACAGATCCCATCGTGTTTTTTTTAAAATTTGAATATAGCTCACCCTTGGAAATTAGTTAATTTTGAAAATGTGTGAAAATATAATTGCAAATTAGCAGATCATTGTTTACTCTGTTTCTTTTAAGTTCTTAATCATTGCCATTGTGAGTTTTAGGTAGGGTAGGGCTCTAATTAATTTTTAGTAAATGGGAAACTGTTCAGAGCCTGGTTTGTGGGGTATCTTGTAAAAAATCATTCTGTCTATGATACCAGACAGCAAAATACATGAGCAAGCTCCTAGCCATCCAGAATGGAAGGAAATTCTATTTAGTATTCTGGTTAACATTTTTTTTTAATTTACTATCAACAAATTTATAATTTACAGAGCATTCAAATACATTGATTATGAAAGTACTTCTAATTTTAATTTTTTATTTTAAAAGATTAAGCTGTCAGTTTATGGATTTTATATTGCCTCAGAGTCATAATTAGGCACTTAATCACTATGATCCACTATTTCTAAGTATTTCTGTTTATTTGAACATGAGTAGGATTCTGCATAAGCAAGAGGTTTGTTGCTTTAGTTGAGTTAATTGATAGGTTATTTGAAGGGGAATAACACATGGCACGATATTTCAATCAGTAACATATTTGAGATGTATATCCATATTCCTGTGTCTATTATTAGCATCCTTGGGGGGAGGATTTGGAGAAATCTAGGCAATTTGTCTGCTTGTTTGCTTTTTCTGCTTGATTTCTTTGCGGAGCACTGGATTACCTTTTATCCAGTTAAATCAAAATTAAAAGGCATGAGTAACTAACTATAAAAGAGCCATTGTTCTCTTTCTAGGGTTACTAGCTGGGACCTCAGTAGCTCTGTTTGGGGTGTCTACGTGAGCCTCTGCAGAGAGGACACACTTGACATAGATCCCTTTAAGTTAGGGACCCATTATGAGTTCTTCTCCCCTTCTCTCTTCCTTGGGGAAGAGAAGAGTGTTGATTATTTGGTATATTTCAGTTTTTCTGTTCTTCTCTCATTCTCCCTCAGTGCCTAGCTAGCATTACTCCTTTATCAAACATCCTAGCCAAAATACAGATTACTAGCCAAGGCATAAGTCACATTTTTAGTCTTTAAAAGAATAAAAAGCCTGTACAAAAATGCCACCTTTGTGTTTCATCAGATTAAGATACACTGATTTTTGACATTCAGCGTCCTCCTTCCTGTATGTGAATTCATCTATAATGTATTGGTATATCCTCAAGTAATTAGAACCCATTTTATTCTTTGTTTTAAGCAGCCATTTCACAATAAATGGATTTTTAATATCTTAACTATCTGAAAAAAAAATCCTAATTAACAGGTACTTGGCTATTTTTTTTAATAAGTTTTACATGTGGCAGCCTTCAGAGAGGGCGATTTATTTATGATACTGTCATTTTTATTAAAAAGCAAATTTCATATTTAGTGCCTTAGTTTTAGATCCTCTATTCTAAAACCTATAGTTCCTAGTTGTCACCTATTTGTTTCTTTTTAGTTAAGCCACATACATCCCATTCGATTAAAAAAAAATAACCCTTATACATTTATGTTTGTCTGTGTGGTGTGTGTTAACCTATCTTTAAACTACCATAAAAGCATGATTTTGTTTTGGCACTTAAAGCACCAGCAAACCTCCTCCTTTCCTTCCAATCAATTAACCTGTTACCTAGACGAGAGCAGCAAAGAACTGAAGAACTTACCGGGATGTTTTCATTCACATGTGTGGTTGACCTTCACAGTGACCTGCCTGTTTTAAGCACATCCTTGAGGCCTTCTGAATCTAGCGCAGAGAAGATGAATTATCTGATTTACAGGCTCTAATGGACTTCAAGAGCAGACATGGATGCTTGAAAGAAAACAGTGAACTCAGTGTGTAGGAAGAACAAAAATAACTTGGAGATGACGTAGCTGGATGAAGATGTGGACTTGCTCACTTAAGCAGGAGGTGGTGTGGGTAGGTGTGGCGGGTAGGGTGTGGATCCGCAGAGATTGCTCTCTGGAGTTGATACATTTGGGGGCATTAATCACATCCTCATCATTTCTCAAGTGGAGACGGCCCTTCATTCCTCTATGGCACTTTCCACCAGGGGAACATACTGGCTGGTGTCATTACATTGCCTGTTATAAGTTATTCCCTCTGTTAAAGTAACATAATCTGCTTGGTTGGGTTGTTGAAGATCACATCCTACACAGCGCTTTGGCATTTTCAGACTGTTGTTGAGTTACACATTGTCCTTTTAACTCTGTGTCATGATGGCTGTCTCCGTCTTTGACTTTCTTTGTTTCTGTGAAGCAGAATTTGATGGGATAGTCACCGCTTGCCTAGGTTTCCAAAAGGTAGAGCCCCTTTCCCCCCCCAGGAGAGGCAATCAAATGGAAGTGAGGACCCTTGACGAGATTCTTTGTGAAAGGGGGTAAGTCACGCTTTGCACATTTCCATCAAGGAAGGAGGATAGCCTTCCACAAGCCATTTTAACAGCTGACAAGTTAACGCTCATCAACAAGTTAACAAAAGAAGAGATTTGACAAATGTTAGGCTGAAAATATGTGGGTTAAAAGAGGCATTTGGCAAACAGGCATTGTCACGAAGGCTGCAATTTGCAAAGCTTGGTAATGCTAAAGCTTCCTTCCCAGCGCAGCAGAGCCCAAAAGGTGCACCCCGATGTGCTTTATCTCCCTCAGGAAAGGTGCCCTCCTGGCACATGTTTTTTTGTGTTTTGTTTTTTAATCTTAAATGAAGACTGGCCATACTGTTAATACATGTTGGTTAATAGTAACCATTTTAACTAAGCAATGTTTGGAAATGATAAACAACAATGAGAAAAGATGCTGAGGCGTTCTCTTCACCAGAAATCTAGCAACATCAGTCATCCTCTTGGATTTGCAAGGATGAGTTGTTTCATCTGCCAGTTAACGTCCTCAAGTTGTTTTACTTGTAGAGTTAAGACTA